TTAAAATATAAATATAAAAAATCACAGACATTTCTTGGGGGTGCTGGGCGGGTGCTATGGCTATTATAGGGGGAGCTACAGTACCACCTAGCTCCTCCCTGGCACCGCCACTGGTAAGAGGGTTAATGGGTCTTCAGTGGGATATGTGCATGGATTAAGAAGTTGAAAGAGAAAACACGTTAAAAACTGTCTTTCTTATTTGGTAGAAGTTAGAGGGATGACCCAGCATTTGTATACCTCTCAGTTTATTCTCAATTTTCAAGACCGTTAAAAACAAGCGCAGCCCAAAATGCTTCTGCACACATTTGGATAGACCTTCAATCAATAAGAGCTACAAAATGTGTGATGTTGTTGGTAAATTAAACTTACCAAATTCTCTTGGAAGTACGGCAAACAAGCTTTGCTTTCAACAAAAGCTTTAAATTCAGTTGTTTGTTCTATTAGAGAAAGTATACCATCCAGTTTGTTTAATACTGATAATGTAGTACATTCAACAGAAACAGTTAATGAGTGGCAGGCATCTTGGTTCTGTACGAAAAAGCCGGCCAGTAACGTCACTCTCCTCTGTACAGTAATCGTATAAAACCTGTCCCATATTTAATAAAAGGTTGTGATTGGCCCGACCGGATCCAGGACTGCAGGAATTTTAGGGAGGCCAGTAGCATCTGCCAGAGCAAATCAAAGATGTGCTTGCAGATTTGTCTGGTACGCAAGCTAGGGTTGACCCTGAGTTTGTGGTAATTAAAAATGATTAATTAATTTTAATGTAATATGCAAACAAATGTAAAAAGGACTGCTTCCAGTTTTTATGCTAACCTAGGCTAACTTTGTCTAGCTTTTTACTAAACATACATGTTGATCAACCCTCTCATGTCAGTCTTGGCAAGTGGATAAGCATATCTTCCAAAATGTTGAACCAGTCCCTTAAGAACAATTCTGTGATACACTAGTTAAAACCTCCTTAAAATGAGAACAGACTTGCAGTGATTGTGATTCAATTCATTGTTGCTTGTTGCTCATTTTAGACTGCACTCTTTCACTCCCTCACAGCAGTAATTTATTTAGTGGTAACAGAAATTTTCGACACTGAGTTTGAATTATTTGTAAAGTTTCATCCTCCCGTCTGTCTAAATTAAGGATCAGTTACAATCTGGAAACCGAACAGCGTTTGATGTTCTTTTGTGCTTCTTCTCACTGGATAAAATCAAACTGCAGTATGTGAGAAAACATTCTTCAACCCAGACAATATTTTTATGAATTCTCATCAAAGTGGAACAAAATGCTACTAAAATGAAGTTTCCAAAAGGATTTTTAAAAAATGCCCTCAATATTTAGTGTTCAAATCATTCCAAGGGTATTTTCACTGTCAGCTTTGTGTACAGTGAACTCATCAGAGGAGGCCAATGTGTGTATTTGGTGGTGTAGTGGAAACATGTTAATCTCAGCAGATGTCTCCAGTGATTTGACGATTATTTGAGGCTGCAGAGGTGCTGTAATCTGAGGATTAGCTGCAGTCACTGGGGGATTACACAGATTACTGCTCTGATTATCTGTACTGTTACAAAATAAAACTGGCTTTATTACTTTTTTTAAATGCAGTGGTGTAGTAGTATCGCCTCCAAGTTGCATCTGTTTTTCATAATAGTTTAAATAATAAGAAAATAATTATTTAAATAAATGATAACCAATTATTTATCAGGAAAAAATAAAATAAAAATATTATTAAAATGAAAAACTATATTGTGTGACACTGTGTTTTGCTGTGTCAGGGAGAGGTCAGTGAACGTGTCGGAGCCAGAGTCTTTGGAGCTGACCGTCTCCAATCTGAAACCAGAGGAGAGCTACAGCTTCAGGGTCATCGCTTACAATGACGTAGGGCCCGGAGAGAGCTCCGCCCCCCTGAGGATCACCACCAAACCAGACCGTAAGACACACACACACAAACCCACACACCACACACACACACACACAAACACACACAATTGGACACTAAATAAATATTGTATGTATGCTTATACTTTTGTCATAATACTGTATATATGTATATATATAACAATACTGCGTTCGTTGTTTTGTGTACTGTGTGCATAGCTTTATATTTTCTTAATTTATAGTTATATAAAATGTTGTTTAGATAAAAAACTTGTTACAAAACCACATTACCTAAGCCATCAGAAACTAAACTGTGCAAACAAAACACTTTTAGGGCTGAGGTTGCGGTTCTCCAAACCTTGAAAAAATGATCCATATTTGTAGGATCCAGTGTTTTTGGATACTAAAAAACAACCGTATATTGTTTTATGGCCGAATCAACCAAACCAAAAGCTAAAAATTTGAATACATTTCTATATAATCCAGACAGTAAGAATTTGTGTAATTTCTGGAGACCGGGGGATTTTGCTCCAGTCTCTGTCACTGCAGTACTGGCAGTAGATGTAGGAGTAGAAGGTGTATTAGTTGCAGTTGTGATAACAGCAGTAGTACTTT